GAATTAACAGCATAAGTAACGGGATTTTTAACAGAAGGACCAAATTGGGGTAAAAATGGTAAACAGTAGGGACCAAGTCAGGGATTTTTTTAGTTTAGGGACTAAGTCGGGGGTCCGTACAATAGTTGAGGGACCAAAAAGGGGATTTAACCTTAAATCTACTAAAAATGAAAGGTTAAATCTATATTTTGGTCCCTCTACTTTAGAAAAAGCCTCTTTTTAGTCCGTCTACTTAAAAAAACCCCTCTTTGGTTTATAAAGTTTGAAATCCGACCTCTTTTTATTTCCTCCGTTAAGTTTTACATGCGTAACCCGTTAGATGATGAAATTTTCAAAGTAAATAGATCAAAAAAATGACAAAGAGAGGGCTAAGAATAGTCCCAATGTGGTTCTTTACTTTGGAAAAAGACCTCTTTTTGGTCTATCTCATTTGAAATTTCTGTCATCTAATATCAAAACTTAATGAATGGATTAAAAGGTCAGATTTCAAATTTTGAAGAATAAAAAAGAATTTTGTTAAATAGAAGGACTAACAAAGTATTTTTTGTTAAAATAGAGAGATCAAATTGAGGCTTTAACCAAAATAAAATGAAAATGAAGGAATAACATTTTGATGTGGGAAAGTACGGACCAATACCCCATTACTTCCTTTTCAATCCTCAAAAGTATTTATGTAAAGTGACACAAATAAATATGGACTTTGTTCATCTTTATAATAGGGTAGGCAAAAACTAATGTTCTATTTAGTACGGTGTTAATTTTTTGTTTTTAGTTTTAGTTTTTATAAAATTTGTAATTATTAAAAGTTAAAATTAAAAATTTTTTAAAATAAATTTTAACCCTAATAATTAAAAATATTACTTGTTTAATAGTATTAAAATTATTTTCATTCTTTTTAATAATCATAATAATATGTGTAAAAATGTATAAAAATCAATGTTTTTTATTTAGAATTACAAATTTTATAAAAACCAAATCTAAAAATTAAAAGCCATAATTATACCAAATGAAATCTAAATTAAATTTAAGCTAATAATAAAAAACTCAATCAATTTTCCTTCCGATAAATCGACACATTGTGAAATTTTTATTTTTTGGGGGGAATATATTCAACATCCCTCTCAATTAATAGTTGAAAATTGCATTGCACCCATCTCTGAAATAGTATATGAAAAAAAACTATTCCTAAAGAGAGTGATTGGATTTGACTTCAATTTCCATTACATGGCCCATTTCTTTGTTATTGCGCATGAGAGAATTCTATTCCCTTTTGGTCAGACCTTCTGTTACCAGTGGATAGTGATGACTATCAAACTAGCCCTTGTGGGGGGGGCCATTTTTTCTGCCGTGATTCTTTCTCTCATTGCTTGTAGATTTACATGAACTTCGAATCCGTAGCTGCTTATAGTATCTACTTAGGCCTCAGCTACCATGGGCAAATTGGAATATGCCACCTTCGTACTTATCATCGGGACATCGAGCATATTTTGTTTACGTTAGTACTAAAAAAGTAATAGCGGTAAACTTCAGAAGCAGAACTGTTCTTTATATGATATCAGAACCATATCTTAAATAAATGGTCCCTTTGATATCGATTCTAGTACTTTTGATTCTCCGGTTTAGCTTTTCGTGGCAAAGCACTACCCAAAAACATGGCCGCTGAGGAAGGGGATATATGCCCTTTGCTGCATTAAGGTGCAAAACAACTAGACGGATTGATCATTGGTGCCTTTTTTAAAACTAAGAAAGTGGAATTATTAAGCTTAGGTGGTATAAAGCAACAAAGGAAAACGATCTTAAAGATGAAAGGTCGGTCCATTTGGGGACCAACAGCAACGTTTTATTGAGATGAAAGTTTTGATGTATTGCGGTTTTAATTAGGCTATACGTTCAAAGTGCCCTCATCGAATTTGTTCAATGCTACTGTCACTCTACGGTTGAAAATTTTCAATGTTTTGTCGCATAAAGCGGATAGGATATGACATTAGTGCTCTTTGGTTGCATTAATTCTAGACGCAAAAATTAGAACAACAACCATTGTTTTTTATGAAATGACAACATTGAGATTGAGATTGTTCATACTACAATATATATTCTTGAGACATTTTAAGCATTTTGAATTTCAACAATAATATATATAGGGATTGAGGAAAATCAAAATGCAATGATAATTAAAAGATTAAGAACAATAATAGCTAGAATGAATAAAAATACTTTTAATAAGTTAATATATAAAAAATTAATTAATTTGTCTATGATTGATTTTTACTTATATATATAATCAAGCTTACATTATTTTTTATATTAAAAATATTTCTTAATTAAATTCATATGTTTTGTATTTATAAACAAAAAAAAAAGTATGTCTTTGTACATACAAGGGAAAATATGCTATATATATTACAAAAAAAAAAAAGAAAAAGAAAATGGATGTATAAAAGTTCAATTTCCTAAAATAGATATTGGGGGACATGGCCCTATATAAATCTTTTTTTTTTTCTCGTTTTTTATTTTTATTTTTATTTTTGTAGAAAAAGAAAGAAAAATCAGCAAACGGCCAAATGACCCCAAAGAGAAAAGGCAAAGGGGCCAAGAAAAAAAAATGCAAGGGCCGGGCCGAGACAAGACACCAATACCATCAATTTCTCAAGAGACCCCATACAAGGTTAACTCCCCTGCTAAATTTAATCAATGTCCTAAATTATTCTTTATTTTTGGCCAGCAATCAATGTCCTAAATACTAATTCAGCCCCTTTTCATTGTTATTTATTTTCCACTTTTGGTGCAAACTCTTGTCCCTACAATAATATTATGTCACTTAACAGTTAAAATGTCTGCAGTCCAATTTACATCACTTGGAAACTAACAAAAACTACAACTTGAT